TGTAAAATCTACAGAAGAAGAAGGAGCCAATATTATTCTAGCAAGCAGCAGCAGTCAGCAACGACGACGCGCGAAGCAAATATTGTTTCCATTTATTTGTAACGCACAAATATATCCACGCGCGTGTACACGCACGTATCGTACACATATATACATAAAGATTTTTTTCAAGAAGTTGAATAAGAAAAAAGAAAAAAAAAAAGTATGTGTGTGTATGTGTCTATCCGATCATAAGTACATATTAACAAAACTAATATAAATAATTTTTTTTTTCTTTTTATTGACAGATGAACATAGATAGTTAATTTAAATATAGCATAAATAAACATTAGGCTTTTTTTTTTTAATATATTTACAGTCCCATGTCATCATCACCAAAAACATCAGGGAATTATCAAACGAATTGTTGTTATCAACAATCACCCTATGGAAATAATCCAACTGGACAATATACACTTGTTCCACCACCATCACATCATCATCATCAGCAACAACAACAACTAGTCAATAATAATGGTCAAACATTATCACCAACATCTTTATCTATGGTTTATAATAATGGTCAACCACAACAACAACCAAGTTCATCATCATCACCACCTTATGGAACACATACATCATTAAATGTTCTTCATACACTTTCACCAACACGTTATCAAAATCAACAAATTAATGATAAAACAAATAACAGTTCAACAACAGTTATAACTAATGGACAAGTACCAACAATGCCAGTTAATAATGTTACAAATAGTGCTGCTGCATTGGCTGCAGCTACAGCATATAGAAGAAATTTTAATGCATGTGCTAAACCACCATATAGGTATATTTTATCAAAGTTTTCTTTTTTTTATTTTGTCTAACGGAAATCCATTATCTTAACCTAAATTATTGTATGTTCTTTTTTTTTGTTTTTTACTGAATAGTTATATATCTTTAATTACAATGGCTATACAATTATCAGCAAATCGTATGTGTACATTGGCTGAAATATATCAATTTATTATGGATTCATTTCCATATTACCGTCAAAATCAACAACGATGGCAAAATTCTATTCGTCATTCATTAAGTTTTAATGATTGTTTTGTTAAAGTACCACGAAGTCCTGATCGGTAATTTTTATTTGTTGTTCTTTTCTTTTTTTTTTTTTGGAAAATTTGTTGTTTCTTCTTCAATAGACCAGGCAAAGGTTCTTATTGGACATTACATCAAGATGCAACAAATATGTTTGAAAATGGATGTTATCTTCGACGACAAAAACGTTTTAAATGTAAGTTTTTTTTTCAAATGTTTGCTTTTTCTTATTAAATTAAACTTTTTTTTTGCCAAATTCAAAAAAAGCTTTTTTAGGTACTAAACGTGAAATATCATGTCGTATACCACATGACCGAGATTCAAATAATAATAATCGACGTAATGGTATAAATAATACTCTTGATAAATCAACAACATCAACAGGTAGTGGACAACGAAGTCCACTTTCATCAGCATCAGATAAATCATGTGATGAACAATTAATACTTATGCAACATCATCAACAACACCAACAACAACAACAACACCAAAGACCAATGTATATGCAACATCAACAACAACAACAACAACCAGCATTAGCAGGTAGATTTTATTTATTTAAAAATCTTCTTTTTTTTTTAATTATATAATTATTTGTTCAAAGCATCAGAATCTCCAGATTCTCGTAATTTACAACTTTCATCATCATCAGGTTCAACTGTTGGTGTTAAACAACTTAAACAGGAACAGTGTGAATTTAATCAAATGTCATTTGATCCGCATACATTTACTGGTTATTCACCATTTGCTATTAATACACTTATTATGCATCAAGGTTTTGGTGATAATCCAGCAGCATTAAATGCATATTATGCATCACAATTACCACAAACAGCTTTTGTTCCATCATCATCAACGGATTATTATCATCATTCGGCTATGTATGCAACACAACCAACTGCATTGTGAAAAAAGAAAAGAAAACTGTTTTTTTTTTATTTGTGTTTTGTTTCGTTTTCTCGTGTTTTTCTTTTTCATATGTCTACCTGTAGATATTTGACACATACACATTCCATCTTATACACATCCCTGCGATGTCGCTTGACTTCTCTTTTTTCTTCTCTTGATCTATTTCGCTTTCTCTCTCTTTTTTTTTTGTGCTGCATACTTACCCTTTAAATCATTTTGTTCATCGTCATTCCCTTTCTATCCTCCTATTCGCTACATATAATACAGAGAATTCTATTTTGTATTTTGTTCTTGATCTTTATATGAGAAAAAAAGAAAAAAAGAAAAAGAAATTATTGTCAGTTTTTTTTGTTTTTGTTTCGTCTAAATACCGATGGAATGTACAATCTCACGAGATATGAATTTTATTATAATACTTAAATGTTTTGTTAAATAAATTATTTGACAAATGATTATATTCTTAATTATTTTCGAATAATGCAAAATCAAGTAGAAGATTATGAAAAGGAAAGTTTTTATGTAAGCTGTTTTGAATTAATAGAAAAAAAATATATATATAGAGACATTAGAGTTTTAAATGAAGTGGTAGTTGATCAAATATTGTTACAAATAGTATATGTAAGTAAATATTGTCTTATGAAACGTGTGCTTCTAATCGATAGTTATAGAACATGCATAAAAGAGAAAATTGCCATTTGACCACCAAAAAAAATAGATTTGATCACCAAAATATGTTTGCTACGAAATGATCACCAAAAAATATATAGGTTTGATCACCAAAATTTTTTGCTTGTGAAATGATCACTTCTCATTTGTATTCAATGAATTTCTATCTTATAAGCTAATTAATCCATCGGACGGGATTAATCAACAATAATCTCGTTTGATGAATATAATTCCATTAACTCAGAACAATTATAAAGAATGTCTCAGTATCATCAGAACACAGAACATTAGAACATGTCAAATAATGAATGGACATTGCAGTACACAATGAAGTCATACGATGAACCAAGAGATATCGTAAAATCGTAGTTCAACGTATGGCAATATCGACGATCGTATTTAAATAATCATTCCAAATATTTATTTAAATACAATGAATATAGAAAGTATCCATTATGCAAGTTTGACATCAAAATTATTATGCCTGATGATAATATAGATGCGATAAGAATTATATCTCAAAGTGTAGATAAACATGACCAAAATGAACGGGATCATAACAACACGTTTATCATCTACAGTTCGTGAATAGGTATCTAATCATATTAAATGTGGATTATCTCAAACTCAACTTAAAGCATCATTGACTATAGCTCATTCAGAATACTCAATTATTGAAGATAAGTTACGAAGTTTTGTTATTTATGAACGATGAAAAGATAGACCAAAATTTTTTTCTGTTCATGATTTACGAAACTGGTGCAGTCAGCACAGAGATGGATCATAATTACATTCTACCTATGTTCCATTAATAAATTTGGTGATCATTTCGCAGCAAACACATTTTGGTGATAAAAAAATATTCATACCCTACACAAAGTATTTCTTTTGATTTGAACGTGAAAATTGCTTACTAATATTTTTATTGATTAATCACTCTGTTTGATCAAACTAGTTTCGATTAGTAATAGGATTAAATGAATTTTGTGTTCTTGATATCAAGTTTTTTTGTTTTAGATTTTTAATTTATCGAATAATTATTTTTCTTTCTGTAAATTGAGAAATATTCTACAGTTTTACAATATAATATCATTTTAAACATTGAATTAAGTTTGTATGATTTTATTTGAAATCTGAACATGAAATTAGTAAAACAGAGATTATGTAGAATAATTTATGAAAAAATAAAATTGATGAGGATATTGTAGAAATGAAACAGAAAGTTTAATTTTTTTCAAACAAATAAGATAATGATAAAGAAACAAATCATAAAACTTTATTTCTATAACACTTTACCTTCTATTTAGAAAAAACAAGAGTCAGGTACAACCTTTTTATCAAAAGCGTATTGCTGATAAGACATTGATTGAATTCGAAATATTTTAACTTTTTTCGTTGAATATTTGTTTTAGATGCAATTACCAATCATAATTATAATCAACAAGAAAATGTTATCATTTTTCTAAATAAAAAGATATATACAAATGATGTAAAGTTCTAGGAAGTATCTAGACTCATGCGAAAGTATCAAACAGTTAGTATTACTAAATTAAAATTAATAAATCCATCAGTATCGAAATAAAAATATTACACAAACAAAATATATGTTTATAAATAAAAGGTTTATGTTCTAAAAGATCCCTATCGTAATTTCTTTTTACAGGTACAAGGGATTTTGTTTGATTAAGAGATCTTGTAATTCGATTGTTTACTAATAGTCTGAGTTAAGTTCAGGTAAAAATATATGCTTCGAATTTATTAAATTCAATAAACAGTATGTTCACTCATTTTTCTATCAGAATTATTGAGTTTGCTGTTCGTTTTATTATAAAATGAAACGTATAGTACTACATTATTCTACATACTGACATCTACGGAAATTCTTCTGAGATAATTTCTATATTCAAAAACCCAAGTCAGCCCGTACGCTCTTTGCTTTCTTACCAGTGGTTTATTTATAAAAGACTTTTTTTAATTTTCACAGTTAGAAAAAGGTTTTATTTCGTTCAAATGATTGTCAGGATAAAAGCACTTGAGTAGACAATAACAACAACTGGAAGACAAATAATTAAACAGTAATTTCATTAAAAAAAAGCGACAAGATATCATATCACATAAATGTTTCAAGGAATTTGCAATTCTTATAAGGACAGCAAATATGAAATATTAAAGAAATTTTCTGGATAATGTAAAGATGGATAAGAAGTATGACAGTTACTATTTCATAGTGCAAAAAAGAAAATGAACTTTATGCTTTGACAAAGCTGCAACAATAATTTCATACATAACTAGTAAGATAAATAAATAGCATAAATCTTATGAATAAGTATTAACATATAGATAAAATATCAATAATAATCATCGTATTCATCATCGAAGTGATTTTTACTGTTTAATTCACTGTTTATTTCAGCCATGACAGAAGCAGTTCTTTGATCAGTTTCATCTTCATTTCGTCTAAAATACAGGATCTTATCATGCTTGTGCGACAATATAAAATAGTAGTGCGAAGTGAACCATATACTTACCGAGCTTTTTTACTTCGACTACGGGCAGCCCGTTTTTGTCCACCGACATGTTTGGCACCAACACGTTTCCAAAACCGATTAAATTTTTCTGGTTCGTTTTCAAAAAAAGCAGCAATCATGGCTCCTTGGAAATAAATATCAGTAAAACATATAATGAATGGCATTACTTACCTTTTACAATTTCAAATCGTTCATCTTCTACTTTTAATGCTTCACCATTAATTATTTCTTCTTCTGAATACAGCTTACGAATTAACTTACAATGAATGGCAGTTATTGATAAATTAGGAGATATTGAATCGAAGAGATTTTTTTCCTTATATTTCTATTATTAAAGCCAAGTCAAAAAAAATTAATATAACAATGATCGATTACTCACGTAGATTGATAATTCAACTGGTTTGTTAGCCGATACTTGATCCTATATAGAATGAAATTTACAGAAGAAGGTAAGATTATAGAAACTCACAGGTTTATTTGCATGAAGTAATGAAATCATCATTTTTTGAATTTTTTCATTACTTTTACAAAGTCCTTGAAAACCATCAACAAGTAATTCTTGTTGTTTCATAACAGTTTTCAAACAATTTGTAATATCATTCGTTTGCTTTCCATGATCAAGTGGAGCTTCAGCATGTTTTCGCTTAATTGATGGTGATGACGAAGGAATATAATCTAAACAAATAAAAATCTTTTTCACTATAGATTGATATTATTAAAGGTAGAACTAACCATGATCATAAGTTGTAATTCTTGAAGAAACATTTCGATGATAGGAATTCGATTCGAAAAGGTCACAATCTGATGCATACGGTTGGATAGCATCTGAACATAATACATCTACTCTATGAAAAATGAAACTATACCAATTTTACCGCGATCATTTTGTGTATGATGCTGTTGTTGTCTGCATTGTTGTGAAACAAAAATGAGCTGATGATGGAAGTGTATGTCGTGCTGTTAAAGGCGAATTTGTACGTGGTTGAGTTAATGAATTATTAGTAGTTGTTGTGCTAAGAGAAGTTCTTTGGGGATACATATTTCAATGTACAATAAAACGTGAATCTATCTGAAAAAAATCTGACTTCTTCCTAGTGGCGTAACCAAGGTAGGGCATGAGTGGGCAGCGCCCCCTCACACAAGGTCTCTGTCGACACACCGATGGGAAAAAATATTAAATAAATACATAGACATTTTCGTTGTCCTAGCATAGTAGAGTCATTTTGTAAGCGAGTGGGACGCCGTCCACCCGCTCATGATTTTCTGGTTACGCCACTACTTGTTCCATACAGAATAGAGAACCTGAAGAAACAGTCAAAAGGAAATTTGAAATATAAGAAAATGAACAAGATCAGTTAGAATATATCGAAGTAATATAAAGAATGACTTGAGTAAAAAGAAACAGCATCAGTAGAGCACACAAGACCGAAAAATTTTCAATCAAATGATCCAATATATATATATATAAAACAATTGTTTCACATTTAATCATGTTCAAGTTCATGATCAACATTAGATGTAAGGATAATATCATCATCAAATGAAAGAAAAATCGATTTTCGAAGTAAAGAAGAACATGGATATATACGAACTATAATTGAAGAAGAGTGGACGCAATAAAAGTATTGATTGATTCTATCTGGCCATGAGCTGATACTATCATCTAGATTGAGATGTTTTGATAGTGAAAAAGAAGAACATCACATTTGTTTAACAAAAAGAAACTTTTCATTACGATATGAAAAGAAGAGTAGGATTTCGCCAAAGCAAATCAGTTTAGAACAGGAAGAGTTATATAAGCATACTCGGTAACTAACAGATGTTTTTCGCAACTTGTATGAAAGTGAATGATAAACGGCAATACCTAAATGCAAACGATCATAAGACCTAATATCTTCAGCAGCTGCATGATTAAAAAAGCGAAAAAAAAGGATAAGTAAATTGTTCATCATATTCTTTGGTAATATTGTGATCAAAAAAATTATTTTTTTGAAAAATGATTTGGTGTACGCTTAACTTTTCTGAAGTGAATGAATCGATCGATGGAATACCAAAAGCTCATTTGACTACCTAATGATATTGTTTCATGGCTCATTTTTGCTAAGTGATTTAGTGAACTCTCAATATTGAATATATTGTGAACAGCTAACGCACTATGGTTATGGCACTGTCTCCACAAATGAACTAGAAACTGAGTCGATAGAAGTTCAGCACAGGCCCCATAAAATTAATGGAAACTGATCTAAGTAACATTCGATAAAAGGACGCATTGCATATATGTTTGACTGATTATAAAAAAAGATCAATTTACGCAAATTAACAAAAAATAAAGAAAAATGTCGAACGATAGCAGAAAGAAAAGATTTTTCAAGATGTATGAGAAGTGGAAGAGATATATAAAGAAAAAAAATTTCCATTTGACTAGCTTTCCATTGATTAAACATTGATAAGTTTTTCGGACGTTGATTAAAGGTATGTGGATAAAGAAGATCAGAAAGATAAACATTTGCTTTTTCAATAGCAACTTTCGGTAATAAATCAATTCACTGTGTAATAAGTACAGGTAAATGAACTTGCAAACATACATGAAAATAATCAAATACACATTGAGTTGGAATTGACAAGATGGTGGATAAAGATGATTTTCCTAGAACTCCAAATAGTCGAATTTTTGTCTTGGAGGCTGCGATTAAACTACCACAATAATCAATATTTTCTTGAGTTCGAGGTTCAGAACGAGTTGCTTGATATTCCTGCCATGAATAGAGGGTGTGGATGTGGAGTGTAGGTGTGGATGTGGGGTGTGGGTGTGGCTGAAAAGAAAATCCACATCCACACATCCCACCCATCCACACATCCCACCCACCCATACCCCACACCTACACCCTCACGTGTTGCATTCATTAATAAAAGATGTTTCTAAAAAGAAATCACAGCTAATATTTACATGCAAAGTATTGTAATATTACGTTATGATCAGGGAATTCAAAATTATTTTTCAAAAAATAACAGTGTATGTATATAAATAAAAAAACTGTTTCATTCAAAATATTCCTAGAATTTTCATTGACTAAACGATCGAATACTTTGCTAACATTCATTGCTAAATAATATAATACCAACAATCAAAAGAAAAATGAAAGCCAGAATAAAAATCGATGACTTCGTGTTGTAACAGCTTCGTTTATTTATAATAACCTAAAATACATTAATTCCTTATCATATAAATATAGGAAATATAGAAAACTGTAAAGATTTACTTGTGTCTTTCTTTAAATTTAAGTGATCAACTACACATCCACAACAACAGATTCACACAAAATCAAACAAGTGCACATCAATAAAGAACTACAATTGTTTCTTTGTCTAAAGAAGAAGAAGACACGTGGGAGACAATGATGTAGAAAAAGTATAGAGGACAATAACATCGAAAAAAATTATTCGCTTTAAATGAGATATTTGCGATATTTACCCTAAACTAGGGATAGTACGTTCGAATCAGAAAAATATTGGGAACTTTTTTATATAACTATGAGCATTTTTCAACAAATAAGATTTTTGAAAAATTAAAAGTATTCCTGTCGATTCTTACAATAAATGTAAAGCGAAAATTGATCTTTTAATAAGTACTATGTGATTATCTTTCATAACGCTTTTAGAGTCATCATTATTATCATCATATATGTTTCTCAGAAAATATCATCCAATTAAGTATGCGGGTAACATTCCAATTCATAAAAATGACTAATAATTACATCAGTTAAAAATCAACTATTAACTTAAAAAAATATCTGAATACTATACTATATCTTTTGCAATGATATTTATGTATTGATAAATTCTTATCAATACTTCCATCATCTTGAAACAATGTCATTAAAAATAATCCATAGGCATGAAGCACTTTTGTGGTGTCCTAAGTTGATAAACATAGTAGATATTTTCGAATATTATCTGGAGATTTCTTCTCAAATTTTTGATAAATATGACATAGAGTATAGCCGGTTGCTAAGAAATGGATACTAAGCAGGACGGTTCTCTCATTCTCCAGAATGCAGTTAGGCATCAAGACAGAAAAAGATACCCTATGCTCACGTCTGGAACCGGTAGATTTGAGCTTCGTTAACAAATATCTCGCCTATGAGATCCTAACAAACCAGACAAGATTGCCGTGACTCACAATCACGATCGCGATGAGCACAAGTCATGATTGTGAGCATGACCGTGATTAAAAGTTCGTGATCGTTACGTGATCGTGACCAAAAAACTGGTCACGTCCAGCGCTAGACATGACTATGTTCAGAATTCATGGAACACTAGATCTACTTGCCAAGTTTTTTCCGAGATATTTTCTCGTCATCTAATAGATCTCAATCAAATCTATCTACTAGCAAACAATCTAGAGTAGGTCTATTTATTTCAGATAATAAAAATGTTTCTACCATCACGATAACATATACATGTGTATCATATCATACATGATGTCATTCTTATTGTTACGTAGACTAGATCTGCTTGTCCACTTTTTTAACCTAGATGTTTTATCATCATTCCATAGATTTCAATCAGATCTATCGATTAGTAAACAATCCAGAATGAATCTACATGTTTTAGATAATAAAAAGTTTTATATAATCATTGTAATGTATGGATTTTCTATGTAAATACATATAGTGTGATACTGCAGTTTCGATATGAAAGAAACCAATAGAACTATCTTTTTTCATACATTTATTTCTATGTCATTTGATAGAGATGTAAAAGAACTTCAATTTGATATATAAATAGACTAAACATGAGAATGAAAGAGTGAAGCAATAAGCTTTAAACCACTCCGTATCCTAATACTTTTGAGAGCATGGAATATACAGAAAAGAAGGATAAGTAAATCGAATCGCGTGCAATGTGGGAAGCATCAAATGGTCTGATTTTGTTAGAAATATATATCTGACATCCAAACTGATAAAATGAGAAAGACAAAGTCGAGTTCTGGCAGCGGGCCATTTTCTATTCTTAACGACCCCCCCCCCCCCCCCATTTCACAGTTACACCATTTTGTTCAGAATTGAATTCTACATCCGATGGCACAATAGTAAATTTTTCATAGAGCAAGCCTAGCTTTTAACAACATTATTTTCTAAAATGTACCGTTAATCAAAGACAGGTGTCAGGTTCGAACCATTTTTTCGTGAATAACAGTATCAGGGACCTTGAAAAGGTCATGGAAGGGTAGACCACAAAATTCTCTATCTATTGGTATTAAATGCTGTATTTTTAGCAGTGACCTTGATGAGCAAAAGCTTGCACTAATTGATAATTGGCAGCAGAAAATAGAGAATCGCAGTTGAATGATTATGTAGGTATAAATCTTTTTAAGTAGACACTGCGGAAAAAAACATATTTGAAAAACAAAGTAGACAATTTGGTAGAGCTCGAAATTTTCCATCTTTTAATATAAAAATGAATATATTTCTTGAACAGGAAACAAACGAAAAAAAGCAAAAACATTTTGGTACAATTTTGTTATAGCCCACCCGTTTGCATGGCAAGATTTTTATCGAAATAATAAGCAATGAAAGACTTAATAAGAAGCACAACTTTCAATACTGTCCATGGAGTAACTGATGTGAGAAATAGTATATTGTCGATATTTTTTGAGGTGTGAGTGTGCGTGCAATGAAATAAAACAAAGAAGGTTTGCAGGACGTTTCGGGCCTCTGAAAATTTCTATTTTTTTAGCCGAAAGCAGAAACCTTAAAAAAGGTTCTGGACATAAAAAATGGCTCTGACGTCTTCGTCGAAACTTTTTCCCGATCAGAGCCCTTTTTTCAGAGTTTCGGCTGCCGAATAAAATACAAAACCTTTTAGAAGCCTAAAAAGTTCTGCGGACATCTTTTTATTTTTTTTCCAGAACACCCACAACCCTGCTTCATATACACTTGGCGGAACGCACACTTCAATTGACTTGGTCCCATCCCATTCCGTCCTATGCTGTTCTGCTACATTTTCAATTTTATGGTTTCATCCCGTTCTGCTTCA